GGCTAAACGACTTTTCTGAAAAGACGCAACTTTTAGCGATAACCATAAAGTGGTTACTTCGAAAAATAACTACTTAACTGTTATTTTCGAAAGACGCAACTTTTGAGAAAATAGTTATAATGAAAAGACAAATCTTGACAAAACGGTTACAACGAAAAGCCATAACTCTTGAAAAAACGGTTTTAACAAAAATATGCAACTCTTGCAAATAACCATAAAGCGGTTTTTTCGAGAAGATGTAACCTTCAAAATAACCATAATGCGGGTTTTTGAAAAGAAACTTGACTCTAGCATAAGCCTATAAATACAAGACGGTTTTTCGAGAAGACACCATACAAATATTCATTTGTTTGGATTTGCTTTTATATGTAGAGGAATTTCATCATTTGTTTTTATCTATCTTATGTTCTAAGTGAATTATGGAAACCAATAGCTATAATTAACAAAATGACAATCGGCAAAAAAACTAAAACATATATACATAGGCCAAACGATTTTTTTGAAAAGACACAACTCTTAACGATAACCATAAAGCGGTTACTTTGAAAAATAATTACTTAATAGGTTTTTACAGAAAATTACAACCCAAAAATGTTTATTTTTTTAACACGGAATTCTTAAGGAAAGCCAAAAAGCGATTATTTTGGAAAAAAACACAACTTTTGACGAAATAATTATAATGAAAAGACACAAGTGTTGACAAAACGGTTACACAAAAAAAACGCAATTCTTGACAAAACGGTTTTAACGAAAAGATGCAATTTTTGCAAGTAACTATAATATTTTTTAAGAAGACGTAACATTTCAAAATAACCATAATGCGGTTTTTTTTAAAAAAAATCTCGACTCTAGTATAAACCTATAAATACAAGATAGTTTTTCGAAAAGTCACAACCCAAAAATATTTTTTTTTTTTTTGGATTTTTCTATCTATCTATTATTTGAGAAGTGCAAAAGCTTATGTGGCAGCTCGAAGAACCCTCTCAAGGAGATACTTAATTGTATTTATTTAAACATATCCTTAATGTTTTCACTAATTAATTTTTGTTTCAACGTGTTTGATTTACGAAATTGTCCCTTTTTAGTGTTGCTGCTTTTTCCATAGGGACCCGTAAACTCGGTTGGGCTTTTGTAACGGTTGTATTTGTATGGGCTGTATCTGACATTATAACTCTGTTCAAAAGCCCGTTATTATAACCCTAGGTCTATTGTCGATTGCTTATAAATCTCCTTAATCGCAAGCAGCATTAATTAGGTATGAGTCTTCGTCCTCTTTTATTATTTTGTAATATTCAAGAAAGCGCTAGGCGCTAAACGCGTGGTGACCCAATGTCTAGTGCATAAAATGTCTAATTGGAACCTAAGCAATCTAATAGGCGGTCTAAACGTTTTACAAAAATATATAATATATTAGATATATATGATAAAATATATAAAAACTCATAATTTATAATTAACAAAATTTATATTATATTTATATTCATCATTTTATAGCCAAATATATAATATTTTACAATTTATATATGTAAAAATTTATATTATTTTATTATTATAATATGCGGCAAAAACGGTAATCGCCACGGTCTATAGGGGCCTAGCACCTAAACGTCGCCTAGGTGAATGCCTAGAACGCTTTTTAGAACACTGTTATTTTGTTTATGATTTGTGATGGTCGTAGTTAAACCTGGATTGTCTTTTTACTTTTCGTGTATGCTTTATGTTTTGCAGCTAAAATCATCCAATCATCCATAACGAGGTCAGCAATCGCCTAATACAAAGCTTCGGTCCTGTGGATGTAGACTCTCATTATTTTCTTACATGTTGCACAAGTACAACTTATTTCTAATCGCCTAATACAAAGTGGAGAACCCGAAGGAACCCGAGTGGAGAGGATACCAATAATGATACTAGTTTTATAAGTTAATATATCCAAAATAAGATTGAAGAAGGGAGGGAGATGTTGAGTCTGTAACCTGTCGCGAATCATACGGTGGATGGTCGCCTTAACCGAAGTCGATGGTGTACTTATAGTTGTGAAGATTCGAGAGTTGCGCTCCTTCGAAATCAGATAGAGGCGGTAGGATCCACGTTGATGCCGCCATAAGGTCTAGAGGAGGATTTTGCCATATCCTAGATGGTCATTGATCATTCTTTCTTGGACAGAAAGTGCAAATAAGATAACTTGGGCTTTGATTTTCTTCCATAATCCCTAGGCCCATATGGACCGAGATTATTCACTTAATTCCTTTCCCTAATTATATTTATTCATCTTCTGCTTCTCCCCTGTTACTTGGAGATCTGAGAAAGAAAAATAGAATGGGATTCGAATTCTCGATTCGAGCAAGCTAAGGCATATATAGTTGGAGAAGACTTGAGATATTCGGTGGAAAATTCTGGTGTACAAGTAATGTTAAAGGAGTACAAAGCTGTATTTGGTCCGAAACCAGAAGAGAAGTTCACAGTTATTGAACTGGAAACATATGAAAGGGCTGCCGAGCTCATGAGAGGAGGACCTTGCAAAGAATTGTTTAAGGTTATGGGAGATTGCACAGAAGAGAATGGATTTGGTAGCAAAAAGTGTGGGGAACATGCTTTGAAGGTGTTCGATTGTATGTGTTCTCATCCTGATTACCATCACCGGATGCTCGCGGTGATGAAATCTATCGAAGAACATGTAGTGAAAGAGCACGGTGCGTATGTTGCGAGGAAACAAGCTTTTAGGGATGATGCATTGTCTGTGAGGAACCAAGCTTTCAGGGATGAATTAAGAAGATTTAGGTGACTGTTATGGTTTCCTTCTTGTTTATGGGAATGCCAATTATTGTGTGTGTTTTGGGATTTACTTAATTATGAGCAGAAAAAGTTTTCGTTTAGTTGGAATCCTAATTTATGTTGCTCTAAAGGTCATGACTTTACTTTGTTGATGCTCATGAATGTCTCAGGGAAGTGAAAAATTGTTTCTTTGTGGTTTATATCCTCAAAGAGTACTGTGGACTCTTGTATAGTAGATGCCCTACCAGAGAGATGGTCTTGATTAGTGTAACAATAGTAATTGAACTCAATTGTTAAGCACGCTGTTAAAGCGCAGATGATTATCTAAGCCAGAAGTTCATAGACCGACCTGATAGTGATTCGATAGTGTAGTTTAACCACCAATATTCTAGCTTTAGGCAACCTGATGTGTGTGTGGATCGACAAGTGCAGGTCCTTCCAAGGAAGCAAATGACCCTGTTTTTAGAGATGATCGATCAATGCTCATGGATGTATGTGAGGACAATCCGATAGATGAGCAGCAAGTACATATGATCCAAGGCAGACCATTGAGAAAGATGAAGTAAGTGTGATACATGGCGATGATACAGCTGGTGAACTCGTTAACAACGGTAATACTACTTGCTCCAAGCTTCGGATGCACATGTAAAATGCTCAAAAGATGGAACCTGGTTAATCAGTGGAAGCGATGATGAGTCAGATATGGTTAAAGGTCCAGCCTTGACCAAGACAAATATGAAGATTCCTTCAAGCTCCCCAACAAGACCCGAGAATGTATGCTGGAAATGAAGGAGCGTTGTTGATATGTAGCAGAAGCGAGTGCAGCAAAAGTTCACAAGGAATGTTTCAGTTGTCGGGTTAGCTTTGATGAAGACGGGAACTTTCACTGCCATGTATGCTGTTATGATCGAGTCACCATGGACTCTTAGAAGTTGATGGGTCATGCCAAGAGAAGACTGTTGAAGTTTTTTTCGGGTACTTTACAGACCAAAAACAAGAGACTCAGGTGATGGAATACTTGCTGCAACTTCGCGATTTCTTCAAGCTCGCGAGCAAGACCCGAGAATGTTGTTGATATGTAGCAGAAGCAAGTGCAGCAAAAGTTCACAAGGAAGGCTCGAGTTGTCCGGTTAACTTTGATGAATACGAGTTGTTTTTCTTCGTGATTCGTTAGAGCTCTTCGAAATAACCAACATAGTTTTTCTTACCAGTGGTGATTTTGTAACGATGCAAGCATGTAAAAAGGTTATAGCTTTATGTTTGAATTGCTCTGTTTTTTCATATCTCCGATTGTAAGATAATGTTGTTAGAAAGTACAAGAAATCAAGATCAAAACTTTAAACTTTGAAGAGGCTTGTAGCAGTTTACTATGTTCGAAATAACATCAAAAGTATGAAATACCCAGAAAAAGTTGCAGAAGATTTCGTCATCAAGAAAATACAAGAACAGAGCCTCTAATTTAAAAAACCTAGTCTCATTATGGACACTATAGTTGAATACAAGAATTCAAACTGGATTAATCTCTTTAATATGTTCGAAATAACATCAAAAAGCTAAATAAGAATACGAAATACCCAGAATCTCTCAACTGCAGAAGATTTCCTTCCTCATCAAGAAAGTTCAAGAACAGAGCCATCTTCAAAGTTTTGACGAAATTTTCAAAGCTTGTTCGGCCAAAGTCATGATGGTTCGGGAACTCTCTTTTAATCCTCTGCGAAATCGTCTCAGTGTTGTCGTCGTCTTTTTCGCCGGAATCATGATCGGACGGTGGTGAACAGTTGCATTCTCTTTCTCCTCAAAAGACACGTAATTGAATACTTTTGTTAGCACATTCTTCCCAATATCGACGAAGTCGTAGACGTTCTTCATTGTTATCTTCATTGTTTCTGAGGAAGAAAGAAGAAAGATGTTCTTGATCTTGTGTTCTTCGTCGATCTGTCTTGTTGCTCTGTTTCGTTTACAGTATTCTCAACGGAACGCGGAGCTTTAAAACGTTTGAAATATGTTCTATTGGGCTTAAGGCCCATACATATTTATTTTTTAAATAAAAATTATTAAATTCGACAATGCGAATTATTTCTCATAAAAACAAAATTTTGTTGATAAATTAGTTGTTTCTTCAATGCTTTTAAAACCGGCATGTCTAGGCATTTGGGTTCCGTTCAGATTTTTGAGGTTTCTCGTTTAGAGCTTTTTTTTTTTTTTTGGTCCAAAGAAATTTTCATTAAACCGAACTAAACCGGAGAATTTGATACAAAGTACAGGGCTGTCTTTGCCAAAGAATCAGTCTCGATATTGTTCGATCTTTTGACAATAAACAAAAGATTTGATTTCTAAGATTTTAGAGAGATAGTGAATATCCTCTACAATTCCTATGATCTCTAACTTTGGAGTCTTCGATTTGATCATCTGGATCAGCCCCTTCGCATGCGAAGCCACTCGGAAACGATAGTACCCAGATTCTGTTGCGTGAAGCAGGGCTTCTCGTATTGCTAATGCTTCTGCCATGAGTGGTGATCTGATGTGTGTCATTACCTTCGATCCTTGCTGTATAATTTGGTTTTCCCTGTCTCTTACGATCCAGGCAAGTCTCGCAGTTTTGGTGTCGCTTCTCCAAGCCGCGTCGGTGAAGATTTGGGCTTCGTTGTCGACTGAATCGGGAGACCGATTTGGGCATTCTAATGGTTGTGTTAGGTGTTCTTCCTGTGCTAAGGCCCATTCCTTTGCATCGGAGAGTGCTTTTGTTATAGTCTCCTCCGGCGTGAAGATCCGGTTATTGGAGATTTGGTTGTTGCGACCAAGGGGCCCAGTAGATCCACGGTAGTATTGGCGTCAATACTGAATTTTCGGCGTTAGATTTGGTTCTTTCTAGATTAAAATATGTACTCAAAACTGTTGATACCTAAATTCTTTCCGGTTTGATTTTTATTTAAATACTAAAAAATAATTGTAATATTCAGTATCACCCGAAATTTTTTGAGAAATTTTAAAAAATGTCACATGCTCCATGCTACTTTACAAAAATATCATTTTTTAAAAAGTTTTGCAAAAATGCCATTTTTATTTTTCAGTATTCCTATACTAACCTTGTCATTTGACTCATATAATTTGACTTTCCAATTTTTTTTTCTCTCCATTTTTTTCCAGATTTCATTTTTTTTTATTCATTATTCTTTTTCAGATCTCAAATTATTTTTTCCTCCAAATCTCAATATTTTTTTCTCAGATCTCGTTTCTCTCTTGTTTTTAACTAAATCTCATCTTTTTCTCTCAAAACTAGATAAAAAACATGAGTTTGAATTTCACAAAAAAAAAAATTTAAGCTGAGATTGAATTTTTTGGATTGAGAAGAAAAAGACGGAGGAGGAGAAGAGAAG